AACATCCAATCTACCTTTCTGAAGGACTACTCTCACAACGCGCGTAAATTAAATAGCGTGCTTATTTGTCAAATTAAATAGCGTGCTTATTTGTCAAATTAAATGGCGTGCTTATTTGTCTAATTAAATAGCGTGCTTATTTGTCTAATTAAATAGCGTGCTTATTTGTCTAATTAAATAGCGTGCTTATTTGTCTAATTAAATAGCGTGCTTATTTGTCTAATTAAATAGCGTGCTTATTTGTCAAATTAAATGGCGTGCTTATTTGTCAAATTAAATAGCGTAATTATTTGTCAAATTAAATGGCGCGCACTCATTTGTGAAATTAATCTGCGCGCGCTCACCTGGCTTCCTGTTACACACTTCCGTCCCCTTTTCAAAGAGATGTTACACGTCATAAAAAAATGATCACTAACAAATTAACTAAATGCATTTATATAATATGTCATTGTTGTGAGACGCTGGTTCGAGCTACAAGAACGACAGAATCGGTGATCTTCAAACCTTATTTTAAATTCTTGATGATTTCCTGGGTGTACTCCGAACACTTGCTTTTACCACCCAGATCGCCAGTCAGGACTTTCCCTTCTCGCAGGACGTTGAAACAGGCGTTTTGCACCTTATCAGCGTGCTCATTGAGTTTCATATACCTCAACATCATCACAGCGGAGAGCAGTAGGGCTGTGGGGTTCGCCAGATCTTTGCCGGCGATGGTGGGCGCTGTACCGTGAACCTACAAATTCGAAGGTGGTTTAAGATTATTGTCGTATAAATGGGAATCACAGGTTAGTAAGTCTTTGTCGACCTCCAATTTGATTAATGTTTTTACAACAATTTGGAAACTAAAACAAGAAAGGACAAACTTTCCAGCTTTATACCCCTAACGAACGGACTTTTAAAAAAATCGTTATAAATTTACAAATATATTCGTTTTGCTAATATTTTTAACCGACTTCAAAAAGGATGAGGTTATCAAATGTTCGGGCTAACTCCGTCACATACAGACGGATTTGAAAAAAAAAAAAATTATTCGAAAGGGTTTTATTAGTTTTAGTACACAAAATGGTCCCATTTAAATTTCATATAGATCTTATGATGAGTTTCGGAGACAACGGTGCTCACAAAATTGCAGCAAATCAATCGCGATTACTGATAGGTTTTTAGTGCTCTTTGTTTAGTATTGTTTGAAGTCGGTTCAACTCTTTTTTTAAAAGGATTTTATTGATATTATTACTCGCCTTACTTATCCGTGTGGTGACGGATTAAGAATACAGAGTGTCACCACCCCTATTTATTCCGTGGGTGTCGTAAGAGCCGACTGAGAGAAAAAAAAACTACGCAGAACAACAGCAGAGAGAAGGAAAACTTGAAACAAACCCTTTTTTTTTTTTTTTTTAACGTGTAGAAATCCCCTCGGACCGTCACCCCTCCGGGGTTTGCGGCGGGGTGGTGTGTCGGACTCGGACCGACTAAAACCACACGGTGTGCCACTCTGCGCCTGTAACTTGAGAGAAGGAAAACTTGAAACAAACCCTATACCAACCCGTCTCGCCAGCGTGGTATAGTAGGACAAAACCTCCGTTCTAAGAAGAGGCTTAAGTCCAGCAGTGGACTGTTAAAGGCTGTTGATGTGATGATAATGATTATTACTGGCCAATAGACTTATTTACAGGAAGACTTTATTTAGCATAAATTTGGATATCTAATTTGCTAGGTGGATATACTTTGCTGCTATTGTTACAAATGTTTGAATTATTTGGAGGCTGACATAGACACAGTGGGTATTAAATAATATTTCACAAGAACAGAAAAAAGTTAGTTACAAAATCTTGGATTAATCAATACAATTTAGACAATGGATCTCAGTTGGGACTTCAGAGACAGACAGGGAATTTGATTGGTTTTTTTTAAAGAAAATCCCGCATTAGGAATATATCCTGTGTCGCGGGGGACTTTACAAACATACATGAAACGGACACAAAGAACACTCAGACTCAGAACAACAATCTGTGGATCACACAAAGTGTCGTCCCATGTGGGGATCGAACCCACAACACTCGGCGCAGTAGGAAGCAGCGTGGCGACCGCTTAAACCACTACGCCATCCGTGCAGTCGAGAATGTAGAGATCTTATTATCTATTTTTGCTGTTGTTAGTAAAATGGTAGTAGATGCTTAGTAGAAGCTGATAGCTGTGGTTCTTAGTAAGCTAGTGATGGGGTTTATTGATGTATTGTGTTAGAGAATATACGACTGGTTTTATAGTTGCCCGACTAGTTTCGAACCTAGTGACCATTATGAAGGATTAAAGCGACCTTCGGTGCAACAACGCGACGGACAAGCTGCTTTCACTATATTACCAGAAATACACCGACCCGGCAAACGTTGTTTTGCCATATACATTATGTCTAGGAAATATTGAAAAAAAAAAAATATTAAGGGGTGGGTCACCTTTGTCATTTAGGGGTATAAAAATTAGATTTTGGCCAATTCCCAGACCTACCCGACGTGCACACAAAATTTCATAAAAATCGGTCCAGCCGTTTCGGAGGAGTATGTTAACTAACATTGTGACACGAGAATTTTATATATAAGATTTATAAACGTATTCTCCTACTCACAAAAGACTAGTTAGTCTTCACAAGCATTTATTCTTTGGATTAAAATCATGTTATCTCAGCTTTGCAGCATTAGCTGTGATACAACAATTCAACTTGAGATCCATTATCTAAAACACGCCATTATTTACAAATATTATACATTTGTTTTATAGACAAAAGAACAGGGATGAATTAAACTCCGTATTCAGGATGTTGAATGTTCAGACCTCCCTCGACAAAACACGTCACGGTAAACAATTAAATGTTTCATGATTCTGACAAATAATTATTTTATTATAATTGTGTGTGGGGCTGTAAGGGCTCTATTTATAAAACACTATGAGAACATTGACAATATTCGCAATCTATAAACAACGATTATCGATTTATACATTTTTTATTTGTTTCAAATGCACTAAAAAAGGCCTTCCAGTTGTGCACGGCTGAGATGCCCCTTTCACATAAAGGGACTCCGACCTGGCGAGGTGATCGTGTCTGACGGACCGGAGCCCTACTGTTGGTGTTACCAACGTATACGAATCGGCGCGAGGACTTTCATTACGCGATGCAGGATTAGTAGTTTATAGTAGTTCGGTATTTCTTCGTTAGATGGCGTTGAGGTTTATTTTTACGTTGTATGTACAAGTCGTCTAAGACTCTTTGCTGATGGATATTATAAGATTTAAATTAATATCCCGGTTTTTAACACTATTTAAAAATATAAGCGAATCGTTCGCCTTTTCTCAACGTAGAATAAATACTGCAGAAAATTGCGTTTGAAAATTATTCCCTCATTCATTATTCATTCTAATAAGAAAAACATGAAAAAAACTCCCAAGAATTTTCGTAATTATTGTTTTCAACGTATTCTATCACAATCTAGTTTATAAATATTTATACATCTTGAAAACAATATTTTTTTTACTTCATTTTATATTTACTTTCAACATTATTCCCTACAAAGTTAATTACACGTAAAATTATTGTACGTATATTAATAACGAATTATTTAATGTCGTATTTAACAGTATGTACAAAACATGTTAGTTGTTATGAAGATTTTGACATGCTCGCAAGCGATGCATTTTTTTTTTAAATTTAATAATGGCTGACAAACACATAAGATACATAAACGTCTATATGCCAATAATATAGACTGGTAAGTATGCCGAGCACACCATAACATCACCCACATAAAACCTTCTTTGTTTTTGTTAATAAACACAATACAAAAAATTTTAAAATGTTTTTAGTTATGGCAACAATCAAGTCTCATGCGGTTATTGCCAGATTAAAAATTGAATTTAACCAAACCCAGTTAGTATGTGAAACTCAATAATTTTCAGGTAACTTATCTTGTCCGTCGATCCTCTTTTATATTTTTCAGTTGCACATTCGAACAACAATAAATTGGTATATCAACGTCTGAAGAATTTCTTTTTTGTTTGTGGGATCAAACAAAATAAAATTAGACAGCTTGTATTACATTGTGTGTATTATTAAATTGACAGAGACAGAACAAATGATCATGCTAATCACACAAACATTTGTCCTGGGTGGGAATCGAACCCTGACCTGTCAATTCTGGTAATAAGAATTCGTTAAAAATTCAGGTCCGATGTACTCTAGATATCACAAATGTGATGAAATTTGTTCTCGCAGTTTCTTAGCACCGCCATTCAACGTAGTAATGTCGACATCTTTTAGGCACACTACGAATTTTAAGGAGAAATTTTAACATCTTAATTTAGCTTTCAGTTCCTAAAACACCCAGTTTTAAACTTATTGTTATTTTACATCATAAGTTCATTGTTTTTTAATGCAAAATATACGTCTCAAGGCCAATTCTTGTAATAAGAGTTCGGTCAAAATTCAGTTCCGATCAACTCTAGATATCAAAAATGTTATAAAAGGCCTTCAGATGTATGTGTATATATGATTTTTTTTTCTTATTTTTATTTGTCTTTTTTTACACTTTTTTTTTAATGTTTGTAATTATATTGAAATGTATAATTAAAATAAGTTCAATTGATATTACATACTTAAAAACCTGTATTATTATAAACTTAGAAAAATATTTAACACAGTTTCGCTTATGTTGGGATGCTCTGGTCCTTCTCAGAAACAAATAGAATTACGATTAAATGAAAACTTTAAAAAGCTTTAACTGCATTATAGACTATTATCAAGTATTTTGAGTGTTGCAATTCTCAAAAAAATAACGCAACTGGAAGAAATTCTACCATTTCTTCTATTACATATATGTATGTTTGTAAGACTTGCTGGTGAGGCACGTGTCACTCAGTTACTGACCTCCACGAGTCCGACTCACTGCGACTCACGATCCACTGAGAGTCAAAATTCGAATTAAGTCATTATAATTACAGCTAAATCAACTTACAGACTCAAAGAGTGCACCATTTTTGCCGATGTTACCGGAGGGTGTGAGTCCGAGACCTCCCACTAGACCGGAGCACATGTCGGACATGATGTCACCGTACAAGTTCGGCATCACCTGGAATCACAATATAAACATCATGGCACATGGAATAGAAAAATAATAATAATAAATCTTGTTTAACGTGGGAGTCACATGGGTCAAACGGGCCATTTTGACCGAACTCACCACCGAATACCACAGCCTCATACAAAACCGTTGTTAAGCATTATAATCGTTGTGAAATAAGCGAGTGTGGTTACAGGAAGCCTGAACCCTCTCCTCCTAGTTCTGGAGGGAGGGGGGGGGGGGGGCTACATGGGGCAACGCACTTGAAATTTGAGTCTCAGAAGTCCATGGGCGGCGGTAATCACTTAACATCAGGTGATCCGTCCCCTCGTTTGCCATTCCCCTTTAGTTCCACCTGGTCCTTGTTTATGGTCACTTCATATCGTATCTAGGCTATGTAACATCACATCTAACCTCAGAATTATGCAAATCTCGCGGTAACTTGCAGAGATTACTGTGTTTACATAAACAAACAAAAAAAACTTTTCAGCTATGTTATACATTACTACCAAGTGTAAGTGAAGCATCAATTGGTTCCGAGGTTTTTATATTTAATAATAAAAGATTTCGGGCATCCAACAACACAATACAACGCCATCTAGTTTCACTAAGCAGAGCTATGAAAACTAGATTGACTGATAGAATACTTATCTACTTTTTTTGTAAATAAATACATAAATTAGTTAAAGATTAGCGGAATACCTTGATAATAAATACTAATCGCAAAGGTTTTTATTTTATATTCGTATATTTATGAATCAATGAAACATACCAACACGTCAAACTTGGATGGGTCCTGGACCATGTTAAGGCACACTGTGTCAAGGTATCGCTCCTCGAACTTGATTTCTGAATACTTTGTCGCCATTTCGCGGCAGCACCGCAGGAACAGACCGTCTGACATTCGCCTGGAAGAAGACCGTGGTTACAATAACTAAAAGATCTGAGGGTGCAAGGCCTCACGCATTAATACAAATGCATTTTTTTTAAATATAAATAAAATTCATTGCATCTGTAAAGCGTGGAGGGGTTATCATCACATCATCATCACATAAACAGCCTATAATATGCCACTGTTAGACATAGGCCTCTCCTTAGTAAGGAGGTTTTGGCCTACTATACCACGCTGGCCAGACGGGTTGGTTCAAGTTTTCCTTCTCTGTGCAGTGCTGTTGTTTTGTAGTTTGCTCCCTTAGTCGGCTCTTATGACACCCACGGGATGAATAGGGGTGGTGACATTCCGTATTCTTAATCCGACACCACACGGATAGCGGAGGGGTTATTACAGTGGTAATTAATAAAAGTAACTTGAGACATCTGGCACATGGGTCTGATACTAAACTAGGCAGAGCCTGTATGACGGTAAACACACAGCCGATGAACATACTTACACTAAATACATACATTTAACTGTATTAATTCAAAACACCCAGACACAGAACAATTGATCGTACTTAACAAATAACTATTTATCTTGAGTAGTAATAGGATCCACGTTTTCCAGCTTTACCAACAGGCTCGTCAAATTATTAAGGCGACAGAAAGTAAATAAACTCAAAATATCTTTATTTCATAAAATTGTTTGAAATCGTCGTTTATGTAGAATCTAAAGTCATAGATCAACATACAGAATAGCAACAATATCTGTTTTGTCAAATATTTGTGGAATTCAGATACGTTCTGCAACCGCAGTTTTCTGTAAACTGTAAAACAACACAGTCTACAAATAAAGATGACACCTGAACTTTTTTGTAATTCTTGTAATTTTTCTATCAATTATTATGAGAAGGTAGCGTCATAACACTTACATAATATTGGCTTTATGTACAGCGGTGACCTTTTTTCTGTTATTATCTTTGGCAAACTGGAAGGCGAACTCTGCGACTCTCTTACTGGCCTCTTCTGTGATCAGCTTGATGGACTGCACCACACCGTCGACAATCTCGTGTTCAATTCCGGAGTACTCTCCCTCTGTGTTTTCTCTGATTGTCACCACATCCACATTGTCGTATAGTGTTTTGATTCTGCAAAGAAACACAAAATCATAGATTATTTTCAACACGCTTTTATTAGCTTGGTAGGTATGTATCTATATGTATGTAACGGAATATTCGAACGTGGTTTTGACCCACTTCAAAACGTCAAATTAAATTGAAACTTTGCACACTTATCAAGGACCGACGACAAAACAATAATTTAAGAAATTTTGCTGATTATCGTGATCAGGAGCTTCAGGATTGTGTAATTTCTTCCTCTCTTTTAAAATGCCCTTAACTCTCAATCAAGTCAATTTCAAGGTCACCAATGGATAGCCAAGGAAATTCCTGTAACTTTTGTATTTGACGTAGTCCCTAAAAATGCATCCATAGCGAATTATTCTGCTGTACCTGTACTTTTCTAACATCCTGTATAATTTATTGTTTAAAACATATCTTATATCAATTTCATTTAGAGATCGCCTTTTATAGACTAAGGGGCTAACGAGCAGTCAGGTTATCTGGTGGTAAGCAATGACCCCACCCATGAACACCTGCAACTTAAAGGACAGAAATGTGTTGCCGTCCTTTAAATGCCCACATATGAGTCGAAGCATAGATCTAACATGGTATATGGCTATTGTGGGATAGTGCTTATCTTCTTTATACGCAGTTTGTTTTCCAACGTAAGCAACGTAATCATGAACGCCTGCACCAGTACCGAAATATCGGAAACTAATTCCCGTAAATAAACAGTGTACTGTGTTTTTAAATAGACAACTCCCGCATTAGGAATACATCCTGTGTCGCGGTGGAGTTTTATAAACATACATGAAACCGACACAAAGAACAACCAGACTCAGAACAACAATTTGTGGATCACACAAATTGTCGTCCCATATGGGGATCTAACCCACAACACTCAGCGTAGAAGTAAGGCGGCGTGGCGACCGCTTAAACCACTACGCCATCCGTGCAGTCAACTATCCTAACAGTAATTATCCCATTTATAAGTTTGCAAGATACACGATGGAGTTCTTTAGACTCTTTCTAAAAACCATGATAATATCGTTATGATCGTAGAATAATATTAGTTTAAAAAAAAAACGATCTTCCGTTTTTACCATATTTGGATACTACATTGTCTAAATATTATTACTACATTCAAGAAAAAAAATATATAGTTGTTATTTTTATTGCATTTCAAAACAAACCCTATATTTCTATATTTTTATTTTTCACTTGTATGCCAATTTTCATAATTACATATTTAGAATTATAAAAGTTGTGTCATAAAAATACGAGGGCGGGTCAATAAGTCCGTGACTTTTGGAATAAAACACAGATTTAGAATTATAAAAGTTATGTCATAAAAATATGAGTAATTATTTGAAATGGCTGCCTTTAACTTTCAGACTTGTCAGAGCCGACACTATTCTATTTTGACGATATATTTTAATAAGCCCGAGTTTGCCAAATATAAAATTGTTTACTATTGTCTGTTTAATTTATCAAATCACATTAAACAATTTATAGGTTATCGCGAAATAACGCATCCAGTGAATCATTAACTAAAATATTATTGATAATATTCAGCTATTTTCATATCAATTACCACTTAAAGATAATTGAAAGTAGTTTACAAATACATTTATAATAATACTATAAACTTTTTATTTGCTCGTTATTTAAACACTATCAATCAGATATGAATTAATCTTTTTGTACTGAAATGTGTCTTCCAACTCAAGCAATGGAAAGTCACGAGGAAAACCGAAGATGGTATGCGCCTATTGAAAACACCTATTAATTATTGAACGTCCTCTTTTGGCGACGAGATGGAAAATCCCTTCGGATCTCCGGCTTCTTGGGAACGCCAGGCGATGCAGGAGCCATGAGTTTGTGGTGTTTCCACAAAAAAAAAGACGGCTGGCCCGAGACGATCTACTCTAGTCTTGAAGAGTATAGGATTAATTATTTAATGGATTATATAATTCTCAACCTCTCGAAATCAGGATAGCTCTCAGACGCCACTCATTTCAGAGGAAAGTCAAGTATATAATAATGTCATAATATAGGTATGTGTATTTCAGCATGTATGTATGTATATCTGTCCCATTATTTCTGCCAATCTCCTCAATTATTAATCTTATCTTTTTAAAACAAAAAAAAAACTATTTCTACTGCAACTAGTCAGACATTTCCGTACGGCGAAAATGCCTGTGGCATTAAGTCCGCCATTGTACAATTAATTTGTACTTTGCTCATAAAGAATTTAATAAATAAATAGATAATTAGATTGCCTTGCTGATAATAGAACTAGTAACTGTATATGCCTTTAGTAAGTATAAAATCGTAACCTTGAGATTGTTGAATTCGTCACAAGAGTTATTGACATTGGTTGATAAATAGTTATCTGAAAAGATATAGTAACGTGACCAATATATGTATACTTATTATTGTAGGACGGGGTTCTGCGATGATTGATAACTACCATCTGTAGGAGGTAATTCAGTAAAGGGGCTTATTACACATACACACACAGCTTATACAAGATTTTATGGTATGCCCCAAACGAGCAGACGGGTCACCTGATAGTAACTCAAAAGTCAAACTCAAACTTTCTTTATTTCATAAAATTTCTTAAATTGTTTGATATCGTCTTCCATGTAGACTCTAAAGTCATAGATCAACACACAAAAGCAACAATCTCTGTTTTGTCAAATAGTAACCAAATAAATTTAACAAAAATCAAACCCATACAAAATCTATGATATGCCTGTGCCGATCTACAACCGCCCGTTTCCAAGGGGTTGAGCCTTATGAGAAGAAAGGGCAAACAAACTCATGGCCACTCTTTTGCAATTCACAGGTACATACAATGGCACTATTAAATATATCACAACATTGTTTTGATGTGTGCTAGTATGTCCGTTATTAAGGACTCGTTATGAAGGTCACAAGTGCGTTGCTGCCCTTGGAGTCCCTCCCGCTCGAGTCAGCGGATTTGGGCTCCGGTAACCTCACTCACTCAGTGAAAGGCAACGAAAGAATTGCTTAACATCGGTTTTCTGTGTGTGGTATCACTTCGGTCGAGCCGGCTCATTCGTGCCGAAGCATGGCTCTCCCACGGTAAAGTGTATGGGTACCGTAAAGTGAAAATGTATGGGTACTTAAACTTATGGTATCACTCTAGTCGAGCTACAGCCCATTTGTGATATACTTTGTACTATTGGAAATTATCTGAAGACGAATAGATAGTGGAACTTTTGGGTGGCTACTTCTAAAAACCTCGCGTTTGAGGTCATGCAGACGGTTCGTTCTGATGAGCCCAGCACATTGGGCGATGACTGGCATCGCCTCTCGCTATCACCAATTTTATTTCAGTTCAGATTTAAAGCGTGCTTTTCTTAGTTCTACTCACTTGAATATTTTATTTCTTAGATACATCATCATCATCATCAACAGCCTTTACTAGTCCACTGCTGGACATATGCCTCTCCTTAGGAAGGAGGTTTTGGCCTACTATACCACGCTGGCCAGACGGGTTGGTATAGGGTTTGTTTCAAGTTTTCCTTCTCTCTGCAGTGCTGTTGTCCTGCGTAGTTTGCTTCCTTAGTCGCCTCTTACGACACCCACGGGATGAATAGGGGTGGTGACACTCTGTATTCTTAATCTGTCACCACACGGACGTACCAGATACATATACGTATATAAATACCAATATAAGTATATCGGTGTTTTTAAGGGGCTCGTGGCTATGTGGTAACCGAGTAGGTTAACACGTTGCAAAGTTAAGCAATCATAGCCAGGTCAGTCTATGGATGGGTGACCATTCTTAACACATTTGAGACCCTTTCGTGCCTCGTCGGTCCCGTTTGCCATACGAACATTTGTGGCAATCGTTACGGATAGTTGGAGCCCTAAAAAGTCCGACAATTGTCTTTCTACAGAACTTCGATATCGCCTAGTACTTGGGTTGTGGAGGTGTGATGGCATTCGCTCTGCGTAAGAAATCGAAATTCAGCCGTAGAAGACTTAAAGAGGACCTCGACTTAGTTTGGGAAAAGCCTTGGAGAAAGAAAATACATATGGGCATTTCTGAATACTAAATGATAAATTATATTATTATATAAATACTAGCTGACCCGGCAAACGTTGTATTGCAAAACAAAAAAAAAATAGGGATGGGTCACCCTTACCATTTAGGGGTTTGAAAAATAGATGTTGGCCGATTCTCAGACCTACCCGATGTGCACACAAAATTTCATGAGAATCGGTCAAGCCGTTTCGGAGGAGTACGGGAACGAACATTGTGACACGAGAATTTTATATATAAGATATTGTCAGTGTGGTGACGGATTAAGAATACGGAGTGACACCACCCCTATTGATCCCGTGGGTGTTGTAAGAGGCGACTAAGAGAGCTAACGCAGAACAACCAGCACTGCAAAGAGAAGAAAAACTTGACACAAACCCTATACCAACCCGTCTGGCCAGCGTGGTATAGTAGGCCAAAACCTCCCTTCTAAGAATAGGCCTATGTGCAACAGTGGACTATTAAAGGCTGTTGATGTGATGTGGTATGTAATTATATTTATTTCTGTAAGTAAATCTTGTCAGATATTTTTACAAGTAGGACTATTGATGGAGTGTGTCAAAACTAGGGCTGAGAGAGAGGCTCTGGTAAATAGGCTAAAAATTAATATTATAGATGTTGGTGTGTTTCAAAGTATATTGTCAAAGCCTCTGTCAGAAGCGGCGTTGTTAGTTTATAAATTTGTGGCGACTCCCACATACAAAGAAACAGAAACATACTACAGCGCCATCTAATGTAGACACACCGAACTACGGAGTAACTACTAAAATAAGAATTGCTAATCCTGTATCGCGATATGAAGAATTCCCTCGCCGATTAGCATATATACAATATCAACATCAACCGTTGGGCCGTGGCCCGCCAGGCATGATCACCTCGCCTGGTCGGAGGATCCTCCCTTTGTGTTGGAGGGACATGACACCCGTTCCTCCACAAATTATTTGAACTG